TGGGGGTCAGCAGTGGCTGTGTGTGTGCGGGAAGGTCCGAGGTTTTGGCCAGTCAAGGTGGGGTCATGCAAGTAGACGTCCACTGATACTGCTCTTGTGATGGCCTCCTTTAGGGTATGGGCAATTCCTTGACCAATGTTCACTGATCAGATTCTGTCGTATCTCCGGAAGTAGGGCGGCATAAAAGCGTTCTTGTAGGTCAATGTCAGACATCTCAGTCCGACTTCCGATGTCCTGGAATTTCTGAGCAAATTCCGCTTCTGTCTGTCCTTTACCCTGCTTGAGAGATTGAATTGCGTTACGGGCTTCCATACCTGGGGATTCAAATCGCTGACCAAAATCTACGAGAAACTTCACCCAACTGCCTTCGAAAGGGGGATTCTCCGCATTGAAATGTAGCAAGTGGGGGGTTGCCCAGTCTCCAGCACCTTCGGTGAAGAATCCCAAAGTGGACTTGATAAGCTTTACCTGACTGTTGGCGAGATCAGGTTGTTCTGATGCCCAGTTCTGGAATTGAGCTCTGAATCAACAAGCTTCGGAGCTGTCTTTACCCTTGAATATCTCGGGTTTGTTCATGCTTGATTTGGAAGACGAGCGTTCCTCCATGGCTGTAGCGAGGTTGGCTACTTGTTTAATGAGCTGAGTCATGAGCTCATCTGCAGAGGTGGTCTGGGCAAGGGTCGACATGATAGGAGCAGGTGATGGTGATTGGGGACGGGGAATTGGAAGGAAAGTTATATCGTTCACAGCAAGTGGCTCTTGGATTGAGTGGGGAAGGCCGTTAGGACAAGGTTGAGACTGGCAGTCGTACCAACTATTGTCGGTGTTGTAGACGTGATGTTGGTCTCTGGGGTCAAGTGCGTGTAGGAATGTGGAGCAGTCTACTGTGGTGGCAGGTATTTCGGAATCGGGCAGGACTGAGGAAGATGTGGTGTCTGTGGATCCTGCAAGGACAACCTTCTCGGTAGGCTGTCAGTGCAGTAATAGATCTTGACCTAATGTCACAAAGCGTCAGCGACAGAGTGACTAAGCGGAGCAGAGCAACTGAGCAGGCGGTAGAGGCGAAGCAACTGATCAGAGTGTGGACAGACTGGTCCCAAGATAATGACAGAGAGGTCAAGATAAGGGACCAGGTAGTGGGGAGCTGGCTTTATATACATAATCCGATCTGCAAGAAATAACGATGTAATACTGTACAGTTGAGAATAAAGAAGGTGGCGGAAGCCGGTAGAAGGAGAAGGGTAACAGATGGATCAGCAATCAATGAAGGGGGTCAGGTGGATCAGTAATTGATGAAGGTTTGACAATGGTGGGACCTGAAAGTGATGGAGTGATGTATTGTACAAATAAGGGCATAGAGACAGTGAGAAAAGGAAAATGATAGGGGCTGCGTACTTCATGACACTACTCCCTTTCTACTACTGGAGTCAAAATAATAGTGACAGCAAGAACCAGAAGATGTCATGCCCTGTCCCTAAAGCTCCCCTTGTTTACCCTCCTAGACATCCCAGAGCTGCTTACCAGTTCTTCCGCACCTCCTAAATAACCTCCCATGAACCCATAACCTCCCATGGACCCTTAACCTCCCATGAACCCCCCATGAACCACGGAACCCTAGCCAACCTCCTGACCAATACTAACCTCCATCTGAAGCAACAGTCTCGAGACTCGCGTATGCCATCGGACAATCCCCTGTCAATTTAGCCTCATGGGCTCCGCACTTCACGCCATCCCCATTAGATGCTCGTTTATTACAATGTCTCTTTACCTATTCATCCCACCTATATAAGTATCCTCGGTAACATAAACGTCCCCAGCTTGGTATATTTTGAACACACACCCTTTTGCATAGGTCAGTCCCTGTCCCTTTGTACCTGCTAACTATACGGATTTCTCTTACTCTCTGTTTCTTTATCTCTGTTTCTCTACTATGTCATCTCTACAGTCGTCTAAACGATCCAATACACGCTTTTACCACACGTCTAAGCAATCTGAGAGAGTCTTTGAGCTCCCTCAACCAATACTAAAGCTCCCCAAACGTCTATTGTTTTGGTGAGCCGACCTCCCCCAAACTTCCCTCAAGCTCCCCAAGTGCTCCACGAGCTCAGGGACCTTGATCTAGCTAACGTCGAAGCTATCCCCTATGTTGAACTACATATCACTTCTCCGTTACTACCCCCAATGCTTGAGGACGTCCGCCTCTACCTCCACTTCCCGGGACCTCCCTCCCGGGCTTACACTCGATCGGGAGCTCTTACACCCGGAACTCACTACATCTATGATCTATCACGATCCTGTATTGTCAATCCTATCTACTTCAAATCGTATGATGTAACCATCCGACGTTCCCCAGCTCCTAGCAACCTTTAACGTCCTAGGGACCTCTCAGGACCTCCTAGGAACCTCTTCAAAGGTCAACCCCTTCAATCCGAACTACTCTTAGGTCATTCCCGTCCTCGGTCGCGGTTCCCGTAGCTCCCTTCAAGCTCCAGCTTGCTCCTAGCACGCTAGATCATAAATCCCTTATACCAAAACCTACCCTAAGACCCATTCTGACCCAGGTCTTACAGAAGATCATCCTCATCTACAGTCCACTCATGGGTCTCATGGAGTCCCAGGCCAAATTCATGACAGACAGAGGTATTCTGGCAGTAGCAATGACTTCTGTGACAATTGGGCCACTAATTCTTCAGCTTTGCCAAATATTGATATTTCTCTTTCACATAAAGAGAGAAGAGAGAGGAAGCAATGCTACTAGGTGGAGGATATGAACTGAAGAAAGCCAAGCATCAAACACTGAATGGCAAAGGAGGACCATCAAACTCTCTAATCAAAAAAAAAAAACAGGATAAGATCCACAAGTGAAAATATTGTATATGCATTAAGAGGGAATCGAACCCCCGGCGGGTCGAGCGACGTTGGCTATGGCAACGACCCAGGTTACCACTACCCCATTAATGCTCTTCCTCCTCTAACATTGATATGATGTATTCACTCAATGCTTCCCTAATACATCTCCAGATCTCTCCCAAATAAGTACACCCCTACGCTTGATTCAGGTTTGGAAGCAAATCTTCGTATCATTGTCGTCAGTGGCGTCTATTGTTCAGTATTCGATATTCAGTATACACAGTACACCTCCGTTGGGGTAATCATTGTTGCTGTTGAGTCTTCAGCTTTACTGTATGTGGTAGTCATTGATTGCGATGAGGGTTCGAGATTCATTAAGAGAGAGGGTTGTAGTCCGTGGACGTTGTATGAGATCAAAAGAGATGGGAGGATCGAAGATTAGAATAGTGAATGGGGAAGTACATTAATTGACACATGGCGAGTAAGTGGAGGGGGGATTGTGAGGCATCGCACGTTGTGAGTAAAATCTTGGTAGGGTTGAATAGCACAGAATACGGAGAACAACGATATAAGGGGAAGATTGAGCGAAGCCGACGAAGTTGAGGGGAAACATTCCAAATCGGAATAATGCCAAAAGCATTTCTTAGCGCCTTTGGTAATGGTTTTGGTCATTTTCCTTCGAGGTGAATGAGAGGGACTAAGTGCCATCGAAGAGGAAAGGAGGAAAGTGGTTCCGAGGGATTTACGTATGGTGAAGAATGGAATGTTAGAATACAAAAAGTACAGGGAGGTTGAGACGAGGTTGAATGGCGAATTGGGATGTTGGGAGACGAAATCGTTAGCTCACCGGCATCTACAAAATGACTCTAACAGCACTTCTCGAGAGAGAGTATTTCCTTCCTTCCCCTGCCACTTCTCCCCTGGGTGGTTCGTTCGGGCCGGAAGGGGTTGAGGGTGAAAACATGCGGGTGACTGCGAGTGAGCTAACGATCCGCATAAAGAAGCCTCACAACATACGCAAAAGAATGTATTTTCCCACGACGGTGCCCTGATCAGTGATATACCTCAATATCTCTCCCGAATACTCCATTCTTGTCGAAACACTGTTATCCGTGGCGTCCTTTGTTCGGTATTCGCGGTACAGCCCCGTCACATCCTCCTTCGAGGTTCCCCGTCCAATATAGCACATACACGAAGAGTCTGGAAGCGAGCGTTGACAGTGTGTATAATGGCGAGTCGATGTTTGGATGGACAATAAGTTTGAATTTGGGAGGTAGATTACGCAGTGCAGGACGAGGCGGCGAATCAAGGAGGAGACCCTAGGACGTGCAGGAAAGTGTTGAGTTCATAACGATACGGAGAGAAAATATCGTTGATAATCGATAAAGGCTCACCTAGATGTTTTCCGACTGCGCTAGAATTTATCCTAGCGTCACAAAGTTTGCGACAGCTGTTCCGTTTGAGCGCGTCGTAATTGCTGACCAAGTTTACTGTTAAAGGTGTGTATAGGAGGGGGATGAAGCGAGGCAATGAAGTTGACGATTTGTGCAGAAGAGGACTGGGGCTGCCAGTAGATGCGCTGGCGCCTATCTTCTTGTCGCCGTTCGTCTACTCATGACTCGTCTTGTTTCAATGATTCATCCACTTTGCATGACTATTAATCGTTGGAAGCTGTCGGAACTTTGCCTCCTTTTCATTGTATTCGGGATACACTAGGCTTGTGTCCATTGCATGGAACATTACATGATGCATCAATAACATATATAAAGTCATTCGGTATGATATTATCACGGAGGTAGGTTTCATTCTTAGCTCAGTTAGTACTTACCCTCTTCCAGGGCGTTGAAGAGGTCCAATCGTTTGTGATGTAATGAATCAACCATAGTAGCTGCGCTGCAGTATCAGTATCTCGGCCTCGGAACCAGATGGGAAGTCCTTGGAACTGTACATAGTACAATGCCAACGAGGCATGACTGTCCTAGTACATCGGATTCGGACTCGGGGAGATTTGTCTGAACGATGGGTATGATCGTAGGGTTCGTAGGTATCTCATCTTTTCAGCCATTCAAATACTACTCATTCAGCCTCTATAAAAGAAACATGTTATTGCTTTTTTATTATCCGGAAACTATTTTCACCCACCTACTATCATTATGGGACTTGTATCCTTCCCATCTTCTACGGAGTGGCAGTCTTTGCCAGTCAGTTTTGTGGTCTTGGTGCTGACGTCGAGCCTCTTTATTTGGTACCACCGCAATTATCATCATAGATCTAACCTTCCTCTTCCTCCTGGCCCGAAGAAACTTCCGTTCATTGGAAATGCTCTGGTACGTGATGATCGATGGTTTCTCACTGTTCACATCTAGATAGCACAAACATTAATACACTAACCTGATATCCTTTGTCACAGGATATGCCACCTACTGATCAACACATCAAGTTTACCCAATGGGGTGAACAATATAGTCAGTGCAAAATTTGGAGCTGCTAACAGCTGCTCACTCATCGTTCCTTGCTGATCAGTATCTTACCCACATACATACAGATTCGGATATCCTTCACCTCCGAGTTATGGGAATGGATTATATTGTATTAAACTCATGGGATGCGGTTATTGATTTATTGGATAAGAGATCTGGGATTTACTCAAGCAGGTATAGTGTGGCATTGCTTGTTTCTGCTATGTTTGAGAAACCCTGACCTGAGTGTTTGATTTCTGCACTAGGCCTCATGCTACAATGCTCCAAGATCTGTGAGTAGCATTTATTTGATTATGAATTGAGCTAAGGCTCAAGTAATCTTGACCTTCCCAAACCAGTATAGGGTAAATTTCATTTTCCCTGTCTCTATTTGAGTTTCGAACTAACAACATCATATTGCACCACAGCTGGGAGGGAGATCTTGGTTTAATGTGTTACGGAAAACCATTCAATGAACACAAAAAACTATTTCATCAAGGTTGGTTTTTGATCTTTTTCCAGGGTGTCTTTCGTTGCTTGATGAACAAGTCATAGAATTCCATCCATCCAATTCTTCCTTACACCGTCCACATGAAAAGAAAGCCTTGGGTGTGTTTCTGAATAGTCTGATTGATACACCGAAGGAATGGGAGAGCCATATCAAGCAGTGAGTGGTCAACTATCATGTCATTTCTTTCTCTTCTTTTTCTTCTAAAAAATTACATGTAAAAATGACACTATCCCCTTTACCAGGATGATAGGTGCAATTATAATTGGTGTAGCATATGGTGTTCAGGTCCAACCAAAGCATGATCCAAATATTGATGCTGCTGCAAGGATGTATGGTGTTTTGAATACAGTTCTCCTACCTGGAGCATTTTTGGTGGTCAGTGCTCAATGCTCATTCTTTTCCTTACCTTCTGCCAAGTTCCTTTCTTATTTTGTCTGATTTATTTACATTTTATTTGTCATCTTATTGTTAGGATACACTCCCAATTCTCCAATACATCCCATCTTGGTTTCCCGGGGCATCCTTCAAGCGAAAAGCCAGAGCTTGGTATGGAGTCCGCAAGGAAACAATTTTGCCTCCATATATGCAGGTGAAACAGGCAATGGTGAGTGAAATAGCAAAAAGTAAAACTTCTTTTCTGTGCAGTCAATGTTTTTGAATATTTTTGGTATTTTATACTCATTCATTATCATCTGTGTAGATCAATGGAACAGCCAATAACAGCTTCACCCTTCGATGCCTAACAAATGGTGAAAACATGGTTGACCCTCGTGTTGACCATCTCTCTGAAGAGGAAGAAATGATTATGCAAACTGCTGGGACATTATATGAAGGTATGTATGTATTCCATGATCAATGCTATTTTCACATTTAGTATGTCTTCTCTTCAATTCTCACCCGAATTCCCAGCTGGCGCAGACACCGGGAAAACAGCTCTCCGAACCTTCATTCTTGCAATGACTTGTTTCCCCAAAGCACAGCGGGATGCTCAAGAGGAGATAGATTGTGTGGTTGGTCAAGACCGGTTGCCAGATTATGAGGATATTGTAGATGACAGTGATGCATCTGTTTCCTTGCCATATGTTAGAGCTGTGGTTTTGGAATGTTTCAGGTATGGTGTGCTGAAGACCATCATCTAAATTTTGAATTGATAACATAAAAACAACATGCTTTTAGATGGCAGACTGTTGTTCCATTAGGTAAGTTCCTTTACTCCACTTCCAAGTATTCAGCCTGAGAATGAGTGTTCACTGTAACTGTTGATATCCTATAGCTGTCCCTCACCTTGTTGATACAGAAGACACATACAGAGGTCTTTACATCCCAAAGGGTGCAACAGTACTGCCTAATATCTGGTATGTATATTTAACATTTATTAGCAAGAGACACATAAACAAAACAAAACTGATTCTGACTGAATACATTTAGGGCAATACTTCGAGATGAAAAAAGATACGGTCCTACTGCACATACATTTAATCCGGAACGATGGCTTCTCCAGAATGATAACAGGGTGAGAGGAGAGTCTCGATGGAAAATCAATCCTGACATGATGGTACATGATCCAATCCCAATGAGTTTTGGGTTTGGAAGGAGGTAAGCTGTTTATTTATTCAAGCTCTGAAAAAATAAAATATAGATGGATGAATAAACAATGTGGTTAATGATTTGAATTTGTTTTAGAGCATGTCCTGGGAAACATATGGCACTATCAACATTCCAGATCAATGTGGTATCACTGTTACATTGCTTCGATATTACCCCACCTGTGGATGTGGCTGGGGATCTGGTTATGCCGGAGATCGAGTATGTTACAAGGTTGACAAGGTATGTTGTAAATTCTACTGTACCCCAACCATTACCACTGTGTGTCTGAAGGTTTATGGATCTGCTCTCACTGATTCATCATTTCATTTGTTTGTTTAATCTTTTTCTCTCACCTCATTCATCCGGTTGTACCCAAATTCCTTTATTCGATGTATCTGATATCATCTATACTATACAGTGCTCCAGCTCCGTTCGAATGCTCCATCCAACCTCGCTCCGAAAAACATGCTGCACTTGTACAGGAGATGTTGTTGTACTAGTGGGAATTAGTACTGTGTAGAGCTGTGTAGGGAATTCTTACAAGGCACAGAATT